TTCTTCCTAGTACTTTATGGTTTGTAAATAAAAGCCTCTGTACTTGTAGTATATTAACTGCTGTGTCAGGTCAGTTTGAAAGGGAAGATTGACTAGTGAGTATCTTTGAAAATATATTGTCAAAGACTTTTGTGTCTTTCCCACCCCTTTAAATTGTCCTAGTGACACACAGCTTTAACATGAAAGACAAAGTCAAAATATCTTACACGGTGAGTTTTAGCCAGTTTTACTTGTGTGTTAAAAGATGCAGTTCAGAAATGACAAGCCTTTCTGCTTGCGCAGCTCACTGCTATGTGGTTAAAATGAAGGCAACAGAAGGGTATATTGAACCTCATTAATTAAGGGGGGTTACTGGAGCCTGTTAGGCAAACAGCATCTTCTGCCCTTACATAATTCTCAGTTTAAAATAAAGTGGAGACATAAGGTACTCCAAACCCATCCCTCTTTAAAACTTGTAAAATAACTGGCAAAAACTGGTTCAGAATCGGATTTTTTCAGAACTTTAGCAGCTAACCAAAAACCAAGAAAAACCACTGAAACTCAATGGAAACATTGGCTTTTGTGGCATTTTCTCAGCCACATGGTAGCTTGTCCTTAGCAGGCTCCAGTTTTGGTATTAGTTCAAAGAACAGGATGAACTTCATTCACAAAGAGTTGTAATTAATTTTTTTTTTGATCTGTGTGTTTTTTTTTTTAATATTTATTTATTTATTTATTTATTTTGTGTGTGTGTGGCCAGCTCAGCCTACCAGGGGGCGGGGCTGGCTGGCATGTGGTGCTGGGGGATTGAACCGCGGTCCCTGATGCTTTGCCAAGCCTGTTCCAAGTAGGTGCCTTAGACCACTGAGCCATCTCACCAGCCCCTGTGTGGTGTTTTTTTGAAAACTGTCTCCAAAGTTTTGTCTTTATCTCATCCGACTAGGAACTTTTCTAGTGCTAAAGTGACACCTGGAGTGTTTGTCAAAACATATTTACAAGCCCAGTTTGATGGTACATGCCTGTAAGCGCAGATACTCAAACTAAAGCAAGAGGGTTGAAACCATAGGTCAGTGTGTGCAACTTAGTGAGACCCTGCCTCAAAATAAGACGTAAAGGATGGCAGAGACAGCTTAGTAGTCTAAACACCTGCCTTGACAAGTTCAGGGACCTGGGTTTGATCCCTGGTACTACATGCCATGCTGGCCCTGCCCCGGGGTATGCCGAGCCAGCCACCAAGACCGGATGTGGTAGCACACACCTGTAATCCTGTAATCCCAGCACTGGGGAGGCTAAAGCAGGAGAAGCACTATGAGTCATAGCTGTGTAATGAGACCCTGTACCAGATACATAAAATAAAAAATAGTAATAAAAAAGGATAAAAAGCAGTAGAACATTTGCCTACCATTTGTAAGACCTTAAGAAGTTCAAGCCTCAGTATAGAGAGGAAAGAAATTATAGACATAAATTACTAGTCACTACTGCTTGAGGCAAAGGGCCATTGTTGGAACAAACCCAAAAGCTTAGCATGAAGGTCTAGATGTGAGAACCTTGTTTTCTTTTATTTTTAAAATTTATTTATTTATGGGGGGGCAGCTCAGCCTACCAGGGGGCGGGGCTGGCTGGCATGTGGTGCTGGGGGATTGAAGTGCGGTCCCTGTGCTTTGCTAAGCTTGTTCTAAGTAGGTGCTTTAGACCACTGAGCCATCTCACCAGCCCGAGAACCTTGTTTTATCAACCATGATTCCTGGGAATCATGCATCCTGGAGCTGTGTACAGGCCCAGCAAGGACCCGAGAAGATCCAGAGGTTACTGTGGCTGGCCCTTAGGCTTTGTGCAGGAGGAAGGGAAGGCTGGGACAAAGCTGTATGCTGCCTGGCTGATGACTGAAAGTATGTTTCACATGCAGAGCCCATCTGCAAAGGCTGAGAGAAGTTTTTGGTTTCAGATATATAAAGAAATGTCTTTCTAGAAAATAACTTGCTCACCACTAAACTAACAAACAGTTCAGTGGCTATGCATGATAAAGAAAATAGACTTGGCAGAATTTAGAAAAGTCTGAAGAAACTACAGCAAACCTTGAGAAGGGGAAATACCCCATTTGTAGACTTGCCACTTTATAATATTTAAAATGCCTAGAGTTCTATGGAAAACAATGAGAAGAAGTGAGAAAGTAAGACCCTTATACAAGAAATTAAGGGAAATTCTCTAAGGAAACACAGGCATTCAACTTAATAGTCGAGAGACTTCTTGGTTATGCTCAGAGAGCTAAGGAAACCAAGAAAAAAATGTATCATCAGGTAGATTATCAATACAGAAGTTACAAAAAGGAACTAAACAGATTTTGGAGCTAAGAAATACAACAATGTGAAAGGTACCTAGAAAGTTTCAATAGATTTCAGTAGGCAGAAGAAAGAATTAGTGAGCTTGAAGACCATTTAACAGAAATTCTCAGCTTGAAGAGCAGGGAAGAAAAGACAGCTTTCAGAGACCTGAGGAGCACCATCAGTGTACTGGTACCTGCTTGCTGCACATGCAGTGCACTGGGAAAGAGAAGGCACAGAGAGTCCCAGACATTAGGATCAGAGCCTTTGGTGACCGCTCAGGAAGACGGCACCCTCATAAGTGGAATTGGCACCCTTAGAGAAGGACGCCGAGGGTTCTTTCACCTTTCTACCACGTGAGGACACAGTAAGGAGGCACTGTCTATGGAAAAAGGTGACTCTAGGTACTGAGTTAGTTAATATCTTGATTGCCTCCAGCACTGGGAAAAATGAACAGCTCATGCTAGCTACCCAGTTGGTGGTGTGTTCTTTAAAAATACTGAGACAGTGTTTGAAAAAATAATACCCAGCATTCTAAATTTGATGAAAAACTTTACACATTGAAGAAGTTCAGCAAACTTGAAATTGGATAAACTTCACACGAAGATGTTTCTTCGTAGATCTTAGAAGTAAGAGAATCTTGAAAGCAACAGTAGAAGGAGTTCTTCACTTTAAAGAATCCTTATAGGGGCTGGGGAGATAGCTCCGTGGTCTAAGCACCTGCCTGGCAAGTGCAAGAACCAGTTCAATCCCCAGTACCACGTGCCATGCAGGCCCCAAAACATCAGGTATCCTGGCACATGCCTATAATCCCAGCACTGGGGAGGCTGACACAGGAGGGTCACTATGAGTATGAACTATATCGTGAGCCCTTACGGCAAATTTCTCATTAGACTGTGAAATCCAGATGGAAAAAAGCTGTTAAAAATTTTCTATATTCAGCCAAACTTTTTCAGAGATGCCGGAGAAATGACAAAAACTGATGATTGGTAGCAGACCTACCTATAAGAAAAGCTAAGCCTCCTCAGGTTTAAACGAGGACATAGGGCTGGCGAGATAGACTGAAGTGCCTGCCTAGGCAAGCGCAGGGATGGGGTTTATTTTCCGGCACCACATGCTGTGCCAGCCCCATCTCCACTCCCGGGTGCACTGAGCTGGACCCTGAGACCTGGCATGGTGGCGCACGCCTGTGATGCCAGTGCTGGTGACGCTGAAAGGATGATCACTACGAGTCTGAGCTGTGCGTGGAGATCCTGTGCAAATACATAAATTTAGAAATAAATAAGGACATGATTTAAGAATTATGGAGAGGGCAGCTGGTGCCTAAGGTGGGTCAGGTGTGTACTCAGTAATACGGTTTTGAACAAAGGGGAAGTTATTAAACATTTTTCCTGAATATACATTTCTTTATTATTTGATAACATCAAGTATTGGGTGTGGCGATCCATGGCACTTAGTTAATATCCCCTATTGTCTATTGGTGGTAGTGGAGAGCTGAAGATCTTTCCGTAGTGGAATAATCATAG